ATGGACTAATGTCTGTGGGTGAACACAAGTTTTTTTTAAGGTGGGAGTTTGGGGTTTTGGCCACAATATCGAGGAGGCTCAGAGACTGTTGCTGTGGGTGCCATTCCCGTGGGCTGCTCTTTCGGAGCACATGGAAGAATGGGGTAGCTTCTAGGGTGTTTTAAGCAGAAGCGTTTTGGTGTCACGTGGATATATTGTGGAATTTGGCATAGTACTTGCAGTGGCCTCGCTGTAGCACTAGGACATCATCCGATTCTACAGGTTGCGTGGCAGGGGGAGAATCATGGCACTCTTGGTGTTGCGTACGGGTCCTGCGGTGTATTTTTGATTTGTGGTGGCGTTGTAGGCTTTAATTTTTTTTTAGGTGATTGGCATGAGTGGTCGGTGCTTTTTTGTTACTGGAGCCTTTTGTGTTATATGCTGTTCTGTGGTTTTGTCACTTTCGTGAGCTGACATGGAGAGCTCTCCAAGTTTTTTCAGACCTATGGAGTATGGGGTCGGTGCTTTCTTGCTGGAGTCCTCTGTTGTAGGTAACTCGCTTCTTGCCTTCCACCCTTTTATGGACTGTTTGACGATATATGTATTTGAGCAAGTGTGCCGCTTCAGCGGCAGACGGGTGTGTGGACACTTGGCGCTGAACCGCACAAACGTGGCCAACCTTGCATTTTCTATTATATTGTCTATCTATACATTTTTGTTATGGATGGTTTGGTATGATTTGTGGAGGAAATGATAGCGAGAATTTGGGGTGCTTTAACAACACACATTCTGGTGGTGCTAGCTCTCTGTCCTGGCAGATTTGAGGATGTATGTGTTTTGTTGGTTTGTTTTTTCGTACATGGCATAATTCTTTGCCCTGCTTTGCAGAATGGGCTGTGTTGTCGATGAAGTTATGTCTGTGGGTGGCCACAAGTTTTTTTCTAGGGTTGGAGTTTGGGGGGGGGGTTGGCCACAGTATCTCTGCGAGGAAGCTCAGAGAGTGTTCGCTGTGGGTGTCATTCCCACGGGCTGCTCTTTCAGAGCACATGGACTCCCTTGTGTCTCGTGGAGATCTTGTGGAATTTGGCATAGTACTTGCAGTGGCCTTGTTGAAGCACTAGGACATCATCCGACTCTGCAGGTTGTGCGGCAGGGGGAGCTTCATGGAACTCTTGGTGTTGTGTACAGGTCCTCTGGTGTATTTTTTATTTGTGGTGGCGTTGTAGTCCGCCGTAGAGGGCTCTAAAAGTTTTTTAGACCATTGGTATGTGTGGTCGGTGCTTTTTTGTTAGTGGAGCCTTTTTTGATATGCTGTTTTGTGGTTTTGTCACTTTTGTGGCCCGGCGTGGAGGGCTCTCCCAAGTTTTTTCGGACCTATGGAGCATAGGGGCTGTGCTTTCTTGCTGGTGGAGTCCTCTGTCTTACGTAAGTTGCTTCTTGCCCTCCACCCTTTTATGGATTAAGTAAATATATATGTATGTATAGTCAAACAGAGCTGCCTGGTAAACCGCAGGCAGAGTGGGAGAACAGGACAACAAATGTATATACTATATACGTATATCTGCAAGTGTGCCGCGTCGACGGCAGACGGGTGTGTGGGCACTTCAAGTTGGCGCTGAACCACACAAACGTGGCCAACCTTGCATTTTTTATTATATTGTCGATCTATACGTTTTTCTTATGGATAGTTTGTTATGATTTGTGGAGGAAATGAGAGGGAGAATATCGGGTGCGTTAACAACACACATTCCGGTCTTGCTAGCTCTCTGTCTTGGCAGATTTGAGCTGTTAGGATCGGGCTCGTACTAGCTACTCTTTCTCTGAGGATGTATGTGTTTTGTTGGTTTGTTTTTTTATACATGGCCTAATTCTTTGCCCTGCTTTGCAGCATGGGCTGTCTTGTCGATGAAGTCTTGTCTGTGGGTGGCGATGACTTTTGTGGGTGGTGGGAGTTTGGGGATTTGGCCACAATATCTCTGCGAGGAGGCTCAGAGACTGTTTGCCGTGGGTGTCATTCCAGTGGGCTGCTCTTTCGGAGCACATGTCAGAATGGGGTAGCTTATAGGGTGTTTAAAGCAGTAGCACTCCCGGTGCCGCATGGAGATCTTGTGGAATTTGGCATAGTAATCGCAGTGGCCTCGCTGTAGCACTAGGACCATCCGATTCTGCAGGCTGCGCGGCAGGGGGAGGTTCATGCAACTCTTGGTGTTGCGTACAGGTCCTGTGGTGTATTTTTGATTTGTGGTGGCGTTATACACCATCGCAGAGGACTTCAAAAAATTTTAGGCCATTGCCATGTGTGGTCGGTGCTTTGTGGTTTGTGGAGCCTTTTGTGTTATGCTGTTTGTGGTTTTGTCACTTTTGTGGGCAGACCTTGGGAGCTCTTCAAGTTTCTTTGGGCCTATGGAGGATGGGGTCGGTGCTTTCCAGCTGGTGGAGTCCTGTGTCTTAGGTAAGTTGCCTCGTATATATCATATATGTATACATGCAACCGTGCCGCTTCATCGACAGACGGGTGTCTGGGCACTTGATGCTGAACCACATAGATGTGGCCAACCTTGCATTTTCTATTATATTGTCTATCTATATGTTTTTGTAATGGATGGTTTGTTATGATTTGCGGAGGAATTGAGAAAGAGAATGGGGGTGCTTTAACAACACACACAACACACGCGCATGGAAGACTCTCCAAGTTTTTTCGGACCTTTGGAAGGTTGGGTCGATGTTTTCTTGTTGGAGGAGTCTTCTGTCTTAGGTAAGTTGTCTTTACCTTCCTCCCATTTGATAGTGATGTGAATGGTGTAGTTTGGGATGAAAGTCGAGATTGCCAATGTTGTAGTTCTTGTGTTGTCTTTGCGTAGTTCAGCTTGTGGTTTTGTGGGCCGATCTGGAAGGCTCTCCAAGTTCTTTCGGACCTTTGGGGGGTTGGGTCGATGCCTTCCTGCTGGAGGAATCTTTTGTCATAGGTAAATGCCTTTTGCCCTCCATCCCTTTATCGAGTATGAAAAATTGTATATGTATATATATGCACACACACACAAACACGAACGCACGGAAGACTCTCCAAGTTTTTTCGGACCTTTGGCAGGTTGGGTCGGTGTTTTCTTGTTGGAGGAGTCTTCTGTCTTAGGTAAGTTGTCTTTTACCTGCCTCCCATTTGATAGTGACGTGAATGGGTAGTTTGGGATGAAAGTCGAGAGTGCCAATGTTGTTGTCTTTGCGTAATTCAGCTTGTGGTTTTGTGGGCCGATCCGGAAGGCTCTCAAAGTTTTTTCGGACCTTTGGGGGGTTGGGTCGGTGCCTTCCTGCTGGAGGAATCTTTTGTCATAGGTAAATGCCTTTTGCCCTCCATCTCTTATTGAGTATGAAAAATTGTATACGTATATATATGCACACACACGCAAACACGCACGCGTGGGAGGCTCTCCAAGTTTTTTTCGGACCTTTGGCAGGTTGGGTCGGGCTTTTCTTGCGGGAGGAGTCTTCTGTCTTAGGTAAGTTGCCTTTTACTTTCCTTCCCTTTGGTAGTGACACAAATCGGTAGTGTGGGATGAGTGTGCCAGTGCTGTAGTTCTTGTGTTGCCTTTGTATAATTCAGCTTGTGGTTTTGTGGGCCGATCCGCACGGCTCTCAAAGTTTTTTCAGACCTTTGGAGGGTTGGGTTGGTGGCCTTTTGCTGGAGGAGTCTTCTGTCATAGCTAAGTGCCCTTTCCCCTCCATCCCTTTATGGACTATGAGAAATATATATGTATATACGTATATGTGCAAGTGTGTTGTTTCGGCGGCAGACGGGTGTGTGGGCACTTCGCATTGAACCACACAAACGTGGCCAACCTTGCATATTCTACTATTTTACGTACCTCTACTTCTTTTGTTTTATGGATTGTTTATGATGATTCGTGGAGGAAAAAAAACACAAACACACACACACACACACACACACACACACACACACACATTCAAACAGAATTTCACCTCCCAAATTTTATAAGTAACAATAATAATAAATCAATTTATAATTTTTTAATAATAGTAAAGACAAAAAAAGCAAGCAACCCATACATTGATCATAAGAATAAAAAATCACATAATAGAGTAATAAAATGATAAATATGAAAACTAAAAATTAAATAAATGATAGTAAACTAGGCTACCAGAGTGGCCCGGGGCCACTTGCCCGGCCAGGCCAAAAAAAAATAGAAATTATTTTTTAACTTTAATTTTTATTTTAAATATGGTCAAGAATTTCGATGTCACCCTGAGGCAAAAGTTGTTCAGTCTATTTTTCTGCATAACATAGTTTCTTTTTGGCTTTTCTTGACGGTTTTTTTTTTCGTTTTTTTTTCGCTAGGACTGTCCCTGGTCCTTGCACGGCC